ACTTCTCCTAAGTGCGAAATCTTCTTAAATTTTGACTCCAACGTTCCCCTTACCTAATTCCTTTTATAGTTCCCACGTGTTTATCCAGTTTCGCGGAAGATTGGTTTTTTCTTTCGTGCCAGACGTTTCTTCGTTTCTATCCACCTCCTCTCACTTTATAAAGCTCCGATTTACCTACACTTGGATACCAAAGCCACGTGTGGTGTGGAGCCTCTTACTTGTTACCTGTAGTCACCAGCCCACTGTCGAACAAACACCACCTTATTCTACCTGTATTGTTGTAATTTCAGCTCAACCGAATATGCCTCTTCCGTACCTTCAACCTGTTCTCCCTCGCAGATCACGTATACGAGCGGTTGGTTACCCATTCCAAGTGGATGTTCTTAGGTGTCGCACTTCTAACTTTCACTCGTCTTTTCCCCCCGGAACAGTACAACTGTGGAACTCGCTTTTTCGGTCCTCCTTAAAATCTACAACATCCTCACCTTTGATCGGAGAAGCAACAATCTGGTCCTACCTTGATTGTTCCCTCCACCCTCCCATATACATTCTTGGATTATGAGAGTGACTCCTTTTTGCTATAGTCACTTATGGGTAATAAACGTGCCACAAAAGCTAAAGCCCTGAAAGAATTAAAGATACCCCTGGTGGGTCAAGTCTTTGTTTTCGCGTCTGGCTTCCCGGACACCGCTTATCAGAAGAAGAGTAACTGAATGGACATACTTGTATAGGTTCTTATCCAGGCGAGGTTAACTCTAGAAATCAGCACATAGTCGTTAAATCGCAGTAGGATTTCGAGAGAAAGTTGCGTCATACAATGTGCAAGTAGCCATCTGGTGTCACCGATCGAGTGATTAGGGTATCTGAAGTTTACCCTCCCACCAAAGGTAATACTTTAAAAAGGCCTAAACAGTTGTGTATCTCTTTTCGGATTTTTTTTATCTGCGCACGAGCTTTAGTAATCAACTCACCGTTAACTTTCCTGATCGCGGTCAAGTATGCAATATGTACGAAGTGAATAGACATGTCCAGAGCGCGCCTGCCTCAGATCAGCGTTCTATCAGTAACTCGCGGGTTCGTCACAACCCTGGTCGACTGCACTCGATAACTATAGAGGAACACTTGGCATCATCTGACATCTTAAATGTTTTCGGCCGATTTTGGAACGGTCTACTGGTAAAACTGCCTATGTTCAGGTTCCTTCCGACCTTCGTATCGCGGATATCAAGTTTCCTCGGTAAGCAAACCATCTCCGTCCAACTTGATTTCGTGCTATTCCAGCCGATACCAAAGGTTAGGTATTTCGGCCCATCCTCTTTCTTCTACTAACAATAATCTCCTCTCCAAAACTGATAACCCAATCCATTTCTTTTTTCCATGCTGCCACATACCACCACTCACCCTTCAATCGTTCTATTCGCCATGCCAAAACCAACATCAATCGTGACCTTATTGCAGTTTATTTGTCACTGGACTGTGACCTCGAGCACATCGCCCATGGCAATGGCAACCATACTGTCTCCATTAAGTTTCAAAACATCCTCGCAATTTTTCTGAAACACCATTCATTCGCCCCACTTTTGTCTTTTGATTCCCTCTAACTGCGTTAAAAAAATTCGATTTTATTCTTGGATCGCTAATAAGTTCTCTATGCTAGTCGGCTTTTTTGATTCCACTTGCTTCTCGTAGTGCAAGCAACATCGGGTTTTTATTCCTCGTCGGGCGTCCCCTCATCTATGCTCGTCTATTGTGTAAATCCCAAATCCGCCACACCTTTGAATTATGAATTCTCTATACTAAACCCGATCTGCTAACTTAAAGAACACTCCCGCTCTTTACCTTTGCACTTACAACATTTCACTCTTGCAAAGCAAAATCAATAAACTGATCTCAACTGAATGTCCCCTACTCTCCCCTTCGCAGAATATCTTTTGACTATGAGGTTTTTCTCTTTTTACTGTGTAATAAAACACCAACATAGTCTATCGATACACATCGATCCAATTTGATAAGGACGAATATTAAGGGCAGCTTCGTTATCGGTTCGCTCTCGTGTATTTCGAGGTAAGCATTTAATACGTACTCTGGAGGCCGTTTGCATCATCCTTCTGCATTCGTCCATGACAAATATAATCCTCGGAATGCGTTAAGCAGAGCAGCGATTGCGTTGCTCGTTCTTGACAACTAATGCATAATAGTATGATCAAATGCGCAGCCGCTGCAGATTGCAGGGCTACAGTTCATCTCGTAACGTAATTTCGAATTGATTGGGCAACCTAGTCTCTAAACACCCTAAACCATGATGATCCCTAAAGCAACTAGACGCACCAACACCGTACTGTCCTCTGGATGAACAATGCTATCTACCAACGCAAATTAAACGGCGGTAAAACGACTAGAATTGCATCTTTGGTGGATACGAGCAAGTTGGTGATTAAGCACTAATTTCCCATTTATGAGAATGAAATACCATGCACTGCGTTGTCTTCAATTCCACATGTATATGGAGCTTACTGAGTGAAAATCGCACAATGAACCCTCAGCACACTTATGCGCGAACGGATTTGTTTTGTATCACGAAAATCTCATGCATCTTACTTTTACACCGTAGGAGAATGCGTGACTCAGTAACAGCCCAGAACCACATAAGACAAACTTATTTGCCTCGACTTGTGTACATTCGCGGAACTGAATAAGTATTCCGCTACTCGCACATATAAATTTGGAGGTTTGAAAATTTCACGATAAGACCCAGATAATAACCACATAAGTTTGAACGACCAAAATATGAATATCAACAGAATGCACGGGAAAGTACGGTGCGGCTAGTTGCACATATGGCTGAGAATCGTTGTAGGCTGACTGAACTTCGATTTATAGTATAAACCATTCCTTGGAGAGGAAAATCACATACTATGCCAGAGAGAGAAGTTGAAAACCCACAGGCAAGTACAGCTGTACAATTAGAATGCAAGGTCGTAGGGTAAATATGGGTATCGAGACGAAAGGATCGGAACAGAGTAGACGCGCTTCGAACGGGGATATCAGAGCTGATGCTGTTTAGAAAGACGTCCGGTCGGCATTATTTGAATACAAGATATCAGGGAAGCTGATAGAAGACTCATCAACCTGGACGACCACCGAAACCACAACCGGTTTGTAGTTGGCGCATCATGTTCTGCAGACCAGGCAAACCACCCATTTGTTGCAGAATACGCGGGTCAAGAGCTTTGGCCATGGACTGGTTTAATTTGGCCATCTGACCGGCACTCACAGAGCGTGATGCAGCAGCCATATCGGCCAGGCTTGGGGTACCACCAGAACCACCCATAGCCCCAGGACCACCACCGGCACCTCCCATCATGCCACCACGTGGACCGGATTGGAATAAACCCTTGATGCCACCCATCTTCTTTATAACTGAGTAGAACTTGGTATGTTGTTGGAGCAATAACTTTACTTCGGCCTGGCTCACTCCCGCTCCACGTGCCACACGCAAAGTTCGACCCGGCTGGCGATTGAACAATCGTCCACCTTCGTTGGAATCCAGTTCATAGTCGTTCATACTGTCCATGATCGTCATAAGACGTTTCAAACGTTTATGGCCTTCCTGGAACGGAAAATTTCAAAAGAACACTCAAAATTACTAATATACAGACGAGTAGTACGTGTTGCAGTTAGCTATGTTTTATTACGCCAATGCGTGATTAACAGCAGTCGGGCGCACTCCATAGTCACGAAGACCTGCTGTTCAGTGATGGTAATCGGCAGTCTAAGCCCCGGGGCTTGAAGTGGTGAACCACATAAGGCCCTGCTAGTCCAGGCGTGGTATAGAACAGCGCGACAGCAAAGCTGCCTACCACCAAATTTGCCTAATTTGAAAAGCAATCATTCAGTTTGGGTGCTCATACAGTGGACATCCACTCAAAGATAACACTGGTTTACTGTGTCATGAAAATATGGGATGAAAATGATCAATGAATAACTATGTTTTAGTACTAGTTGTATCTTAATCCACCTATCCCCTTTCACTGTCATTGTTGTTGCGTTGGTACCATGCTTGTTTTCAAACCGGTGGTAAATATATATATATATATATATATATATATATATGTTCAGGTGTTAATTATGCTTGATAATAGGATAGCCACATTCTCAGTATAAAATGGCTTTTGGGAAGTTTGGTTGGTGATTTCCTATCCAAAACCTTTTCGGGGAGCTGCTTTAGATGATAGATGATACCAAGTTTTCATACAGTTACAATATAGTGTTTTCCTGGAGCCGTAACATTGTACCAGATATTCAGTTCAGTTTCAGTTTGTACAACCATTAACCATGCACT